TCATGGCAACTGCCAACTGTGAGGGCAAAGGTCATGACTGGTGGCTGTTAGCTTGATCTTTGACCTGAGCAGATGTGATAGAGAATCATCATCACACAGCCACATTTGTCTCTGTGAGGAAATATAAAAAACTATAATCTTCAACTTTTGAACATTTGAAAACTATAACTATTCCTTAACATTATATAATATTACAAAGTTGACAGGATTCTCATACACCTATAATCTTCAACTTTGAAACATTAAATCATCATGCAATCTTCTTGATTTTGTCACAGTATGCACATGTAAGGTTTTGTCCTTCAAACTGTATCTAGGCAAAAACAAATTGGTAGCACCATTGAATAAAATAGTTTCCCTTTCTGATGTCCAGTTTTTGACACTACTGTGCTGTTTGCTTTCCCTAGCCATGACATCACATTGTCGTGTTGGTTTAGGCTGATCTTCTTCACATGTCGTCTTGTTTCTTATACAACGGATGCGGTATTCTATCCAGCTTGAAATTTTTTCCGTCATCGAGCACCAAAGGCACAACAATCCTAGGGGGTCCTGTAGAAACATTTTGAAATCTTGACCCACTGAAATGGTATTTCCTACATTTTCGCTGGTACACTAAGCTTAATTTAATGATATTTGTATATCTTTATATGCCACTTTTGCCAGTCAAAGATGATGGATTGGACAAATTTTTGTTTGTCATGAGCGGCAAAATTCCGTCAGATGATAGAAAGACAAAGACTGGCTAGAACACTGTGTTGAAGTGTTTTTGTTGGATGGCTTCAGCTGAAATGTAAAATCCCGGGGCCCAAATGCTGCAGACAGGTGTAATGTGATGTGTGTATATCTCAGCTGTCTGCAGTCGTTTATCAACCACCAGCCAAATCTGATGACATGGCTGACAGGTGCAGGACCAAACTGATGGGGCGGCAGTTATCAGGACCCTACCAAGAAGGGTAGGGGGGTGCTAGAAAGATAAAGTTAAAACATGACACCAGTTACTGTAATTCACTTTATGTTCAGGGTAGCAAAAGTTCATGGTCTTCAGAAAAATGGACATGTTCACAGAACTTTATATTCACGGTGGCGACAGGTGCAGGGAAAAGAAAACCCAGGAATTATTTGTTAACTGTAAAGTGTAATGATAAGTTCACGGCACAGAAGTGACAGTGAAAACAGTGAATATAACAGTACAGTGAAAAAATTACAGTTTATTACATTAAAAATACCAAGTCATGATGTTGCCCCTTACATGATTGGATAGTTCAGTTGTGCCAATTGTCACTCAAAAAAAAAATATTGGGACTGAAACAGCTGATCATTTGCAACAACTAGAAATTGTAGACATATTTACATTCTATTATGTTTGCCCATACATCTACACTCGTGTCCAGAAGTTTATTTTAAGGACAGTAAGTCAATTTTCCAGTCATTTTAAAATCTGAATCAACCCTAGCAAAAGTGCGATGTCAGTGAAGGAAAATGGTTGCTTGTTTTGTATCATCGGCTGGTTCTAGCTACTTATTGATAGTACAAAAAAATATATATATATAGGTACGACTCACGTAGCTTGCTTTTGGGATACATGTAAGTCAAATGCTTAAAATGTGCTAAGAAATGAAGGTAAATATCAATATCAGACAGATTTCCTCATCTAGAATATTTTTTGTTTTGCTGTCTGGAAAATGCACTGGATGCCTTTAAACTAAATTAAAGTAAAGTATTTATACTCAGTGAAGTGTTAACAGTGAGGTACATCCAAGTGGAAGTTTTGACCTTTCCAGGGTAACTTGCATGGCTTGGGGCAATAATAGAGTGTCTGATTTTTCCGGTTTGGGAGATACCATTCTCACAAATAGGTAGAGGTGACATCGAGAAATATTCACACTGTATAATACCTGTATCTGTATAGCTGGTATAAGTGCCTGTATTCGGTATAACACACCATCTTCACAGGCACGCGGCACGGCGGCGGCAGCTGGCTACATTACACTGAACGACCTGTTAACCAAACTTTTGCACCTAACTGATAAATGTTAAAGCTACCATTTCAGTTGATTGCAAGTTAGATATTACATACAAAATCATGCGATATGTCAATGACGTTTTGCTGACGGCTACTAGAAATGACTTGAATTGGATATAAAGGTTTGTGTACATTACTAGGGACTTTGGTGGCAGTAAGTTACCAAATATAACACCAGGAGATCTAAATGGGGACTGGAGTGTTATGATTCATAACAGGACAACAGACCACACATGGCCTGCCTGCCCTGACAAATCACTACAGCTTGTTCCTGGGTTGTCATCAGCAAGTTAGAAAAAAAAATGAGAGATTTAGTAACTAAAGGGATATTATAGTACAAATGTATTATAGAACAATTTTGCAACAAAAATTGTGAAGTATTTTGTTCAAAGAAATATTTGTGTGATTGAAATTTAGTCCCAATTTTCAACATATTTGCACAATTATCTTACATTTCTGAGATTTATGGTTGGCTCTAAAACAACCCACAGGAGATTCACTCAGTTTTGGTACCACCACAAAATCCAGAATGTAAACAAACATGGCTGATGGTGTCATAATTTGGCACCACCACTTTTTGAATGACACTTCTTTGCAGTGGAGTAAAGTTGATTCAACCTACTTTGTAACGAAATGACCAGAAAATATTTTTTATTATCCTAATGTTACATATTGCAGCTTTAAGCTTGCAGATGCTTTTCAAAAAATTGTGAGCAAGTGATATCAAACACTGTCCTGTGTTGGTCAAGCCCCAGGTCCAGTACTGCCCGGTCCACAGTACAGCTGGTCAGTGCTGAGACAGCAGGTCTGACCATGCCAGGCCATGTCTTGATGACTGGAACAGATGCTGACCAGTATAACCTCCATACCAGACCTATTTCAGAGATTTAACCCAACTCCTCCCCCATCCGACCCAGCACATAGCCTCTACCAGGCTTCAGAAGTAGCCTCTACCAGGCTTCAGGAGTAGCCTCTACCAGGCTTTAGAAGTGGCCTCTACCATCTCTACTATCTCAAATGACTATTATTTCACTGTGATGGTACAATGTCAAGATGGTACAAGTTCCTTTACAAATCAAAGTTAAGCTCAAAATTAAAATACAAAATATTCCAACAAACTTGAGTGAACATAAGACCACAACAAATATTTACACAATTTTTTTTAACTTACTCATTTCCTATGTTTTCAGCCCTCTAACTACAATGTATGTCTTATAGAACTGTTTGGCTTTTTGTTTTGTATCAAAATATTATGTTCTTTTCACTTCTGTTTAGCCCTGTAACAAATACAAATTTTTTGGGAAAAGGCTGTCATCAAACATACTGTGTCTAATTGTTATAAATGCTACTTACTTATGTAACATTTGTATAACAATTATGATAACAGTAGTTTATACAAATGCATCTTCCATATTTAAGGAATCAGACAGAATCAAGTTGACGCAAATACAGTTGTTGTTATGCTTGCTACCCCTGAATTAATGTAATTAGTAAAGCACAGTTGTGATTGGACGAAGCCTTCATGTGTACAAACACAGCCGCCCCCCTCCCCACAGACTGGCTGCACCTGCCACTCAGACTTCATGTAGCGGCTGACATCAGCCACACTTTTACGTCAGCAAAGCTCACATGGGAAACTGGCGTGTTGTTGCTGCAGTTTTGGCAGGATAAGGTCCCGCCACCATCAGCACAACCTGATAAGGGTTACAACCCCGTCAGAAATGACGACTTTAAAGTTTCTCAGCTGTCTCTTCTTACTACGCATGTATGGGCTCTCTCTCATAACTGTAGTACATATGTGGTATAGTCAGGGGTTGCTGAACTGTGTGTCTGTCGGGATAGTGTAGGTTGATAGGATGTGGGTGGGAAGATTGACACGCAGAATGACACCATCAGCAGAACCTGATAAAGGTTGCAAACCCCATAATATTATGATGACTTCTCGGCTGTCTCTTCTTACTATTAAGCATATCCTAAACTGTGTTTGCCTCAGGATAGGGTAGGTTGACAGCATGTGGGTCAGAAGATTGACAGGCAGAACGGAAAGTCAGCAGGTCAGGTACAGGAAATAGGGTGATCTTAAAGGTCAGGAAACCCCCAAATATTTCCTGGAGTCTGAAAATCTTCGATTTCTTGCCAGTACAGATTTTAGAAAGCACTGTTAACGATATATGTAAAACTTGAGTCTGAATTCAAGTAGACATTCACCTGTTTTGCCACCAGCAAGGCTTAGGCAGCAGGTGCAGCTGCTGGGTTGCCCATCATTATGGGCAATTCTCACAGCTGTTAGGGACACATTGCAGCTGGTTTGCAGTTCAAACCTTGTACATGTTGACTGTCCCAATGAGAAAACACAGTCTTGTTATCAGCATGCCATTAGGAAGAGCCATGTGGTGTCCTTATCAGGGAGAGGGGGAGGGGGTGACTTGACTGTTGTCCTTTATTTGTCTGACCTGAGGTGCAGACTTGATGTCTGGTTGTCCTCCCACTGCTGTAGCAACCACAGGAACACTCCCATGTCTATGTGTCATGGGAAGCTTTGTGTAGAACTTTCACATGTGTAAGGTCTGAGAAACATCTTATAAAATGCACTTTCAGGGTGGCAAAAGAAAAGATATTATGGAGGAGAAATATTGACATTTACTGCCATGAAATTTCTTGAAGTGTTTAATATGACCCAGAAATAAGATACACAAGGAGTGCCAACAATAAAAAGCTACATGCAGACTCAGCCTACGATATGGAATAACAGATTCCCATGAGCAACATTACATTTTTGCCTAGGGTTGATTCAACGTATTACATTACAAGATAGCCAGAAAATTGACTCTGAAAATCCAGTTTTACTGTCCTAAAATCACTTTGGATACCTTTAAACCCGTGTTAATTTTAATAACAGTAAAATGGATGTTTTTGCAAACTTGTTTGGATGTCAAGTTAATAAGTCTTGTTTGTTTGTTTGTTTGTTTTCTTACAGCCATAACAACCAGACCACGACCTGGGAAGACCCGAGAAAGTCGCTCAGTACTTCATCTCTGAACCAGCCGCAGAGTCCTGCGGGCACGCCTGTCAGATCCCCGGGGTCCATGTCCCCACTGTCTCCATCTCCTGCACATTCCCAGCAAGGTCAGTGGTCTTTAACCTCACCAAGGAGGGTTTTTTTTGCGACACCTCAGGGGCAGAGCCTTTTATGTCCAGTCTGGAAAATTTTAGGAATTCGCGCTGGTGTCAGAATACGTATGCATGCTAGGTAGATCACTTTTCCAGTTTTAACTTGAGAAGGCTAAGATGGATTGTCTTCATATTTAGTAGTTAGGTAAGCCTTCAAGAGACCTCAAAATGATTCAATTTTGGGCCCCCTGGTGACTTGATATGGTACTGCAGCAGAACTTATGGTTTTTGTATCTTATGATCTTGACATGCTAGAGGAAGGGGTTTTTTGCTCATGAAAAATTTGTGGGTGAAAAATTTTAAGTCCTTTTAATAAGAAAATATGCAATGCCAAATTCTAAGGCAGAAAAAAAGTGACTCTGTCATATGGGCATCAGTATTTGAAATTTTGGGTGTTTAAAGTAGCATTTTAACCCCAAGATGAGTCCTTTATTTTCTTGGTGGTACCCCTTATCTCAGCCCAGGATTTTCAATGAGTTCTCATCCCTCGACCATGTAGCATTTTTGCTCTTTGAATATCGATATACATTGGAATAGTGTTGTTTCAACTTGCAATGTAGAAAAGTGACTAGAATATTGACTTCTGGTTTTTAAGCCATTAAACTGCACCTTTAAAGTACACAAACTTAAAATTGTTTGTTTTCCAGGTCTGAACAACATAAACAACATCCCGTTACCAGAGGGCTGGGAACAAGCCACGACCCCTGAAGGAGAGATCTACTTCATCAACCACCGTACACAGACCACCACCTGGCTCGACCCCAGACTGGGTGGGTACTCTTACCAGTGTTCTAGGCAGGCCTTTTTAGCATACGGGCCCCCTATGCTATGATTTTGACCCCCTATGCTATAATTTTGACCCCTATACTGTCATCAACCAGCATTGGGGTGTTTTGGGAGGGAGAACCTTCATAAATCTTGCAAAAAATGAAAATATAACTTTAGAATGAGGATATAGCAAAGGGAAAATCTTAACTTCACAAAATCTGTTCCTCATTAAACAACATATAGTGTCTCAGGGGGTTATGAGTTTCAAAATATATTGGCTCAATGCGCGAGTTGCACCAAGAAAGTTGCTCTTCTGTACCTGACCCCTATGCTATGAAAAAATCCTGGGTAGAATACTGCTTACTGAAACACACAGCCCACAAGTTATAGAAAAAGTGGGGCATTTCGTCTTCTGAAAAAAGAAGCCAAGCCCAACTTGTCTAGATAAAGCCAGGACTTGTACTTGAGCTAGAAAGGTAACATTTGCCAAGGAAATGCATAGTGTTGACATAGTCTACTGCTATGTTTATTTTTACTCAAACACATTTATATGTACATGTATGATGACCAGCCCCTCAAACTCTGTCCTATGACTTGCTACATAATGAAACATCACAGGGTGTCTGCTACAGCATCAGTTACCATGGTGACAGGCACCTGGTCCAGGTCATTGACTTAATGTGTTTGGAGAATGAATGAATGAATGAAGAAACAGTAAAAACAACTGTATTGTGATGTTTGGTTACTGAAGAGAGGGCTCTTTATAAACAATCTTCTTTCAATTCAATCCTGAAAAAACATGAATTAAAATGAAATAAGATGGAATGTTTTCCACCCCCTCCCCCAGCCATGATGCAGCGGCAGCAGAGCATCCCCCAGCACCAGCAGCCCCCCTACCAGGCGCGCTCCCCCACCCCCCAGCAGCAGGCACAGGTGAACGAGCAGCAGCGCCAGCAGAAACTGCGCCTGCAGCGGCTGCAGCTGGAGAGGGAACGGCTGCGCATGCGGCAGGAACAGATCATGCAGCAGGTGAGCGTGGGAAGGGATGTCTGGGTACGGGGTGAACTGTGGTGGAGGCGATTTATAGGGATACCTTAGAATAGGGTAATTACAGTTAAACTTGTCTAAGATGACCACTCAGAACTGTGGTTTCTTTTACAATTTTGTATCCACCCTTAGGCTGAAGGGCAACAATTCCGCAAAGTAAAGTATGCCGGGAAAATTTTCTCCACAGGCAAAACACTGGGGGGGTCAAACACACACAAATACAGGACCGCCTTGCTTCTTATGATAGACTGTGCTGTACAAAGTTGACTTGAATATTGCTGTAAATGTTTTACTTTCACAGTGGTTTTCTTTTCATGGTTTTTCTGTGTCCTCTGCATGTGTAATCATAACACCACGAATAAGTGTTTTGTAGTTCCTACTGCGGATTGTTTTATGAACTGTGGACTTCAATCACAGCTCAAACCTCCTTTTCCCATGTAATAAAACCACTGCAAAGGTGCATGCATTTACAGTAATCACTGTCAGAATTGTGCAGTGGGAGTTCAGTAGTAACTCAGCTCATGTGTCCATGGCCTTGTTTCTGCTGGCATTCTATATATATCACCATCGGTCACTACCATTTGGAAGTCATTACAATCTGGCCTTCCAGCTAACAAAAAAAACAACAAAAATGATATTTATGTAGGACTGTGTCCCTGTGTACTGTTCCTTCTGTTTACTATTCATGATGGAAAAATGTTGCCTTATCTGTCATCTTTGACTGAAAAAATTTGATGTGTAAAGATATAGAAATAGATGCCATTAAACTAACCTTAAACTAACCTAACTACCTTTCAAGATTTTCCAAATCTTCAGTTACAGGCTGGCTAGAACACTACTAAGTATAAGTAAAGACACGTAGGATGTATTTGGAAGGGACTATTTGTTTGGTTATTGAAGCGTAACAACTTACTAGCAAGAGATCATTGAAGTAAAAAGTATACGTATGATTAGCCACCTTGGGCTCTTTGATGTCGAAAAGTCAAAGTTGAAAAAGTCATATGTGTCAAACACAATGGCTATATGCCAGGTGTGTAGGCCTGAGGGGGTACTGAGAACAATAGACAGGCATGAGGACAATAGACAGGTATGTGAAGGTGTGGAGAAAGGTGTGGAGGGGGAACCACCCACCTTTGTTACACTTGAAGTGATTTAAATCCCTGCTCTAGTGTGTGCAGTTTTTAAATGTCACAGCCAATATGGTGGCTTGTTGTGACAGACAAGCATTTACTGTAAATGTGTTTACTTTCACGTTGGTTTTATTAAGGTAGGAGGTTTGATAGTGTCTGAAGTTCATGGTCAAAGCAATTCTGTATTACAATAGAAGTATAAAACACAATTTTTATGAGATTATGAGTTAACAGTAAGAGATCACTGTAAAAAAATGAACATAAAACCACTACAAAAGTATTTGTGTTGACAGTACTTTCAGGGCGTAACTTGTTTCGAGCTGTCCTTGCCAGATTTATTGTGCTATATATACTGTGCACAGTGATGTGGTTTAACTTTGCATGGTTCCTGTTATGTGCCAACTCTTAGGTCAAGTACAAATTATTTTTACAGTAACTGTTGTATAACCCATAGATGATATATTTTGTTAGCTAGATGTCTAACCTTCATCGACGTATTTTGTTAGCTGTCAACACACAGTCTGAAATTTATATGGATTAGATATTTATTGGAGTAAGAAAAGTAATTCCCAAGTCAAAGTACAAAAGAAGACAAGTATCATCAGTAGCAGGTTTTTTTCTAGTATTGGTCTTGAATTCATAATAATTGAAGGATGTTCAAGGGGTTTTGTGGTGACCTTAATGTGGGAGAAAATGCATCTGTAACTTGCAATTTCACAACTTGATTTTCTAAGGGTAACGTCTTGGGCCCTTGTCGTCTTGTCAGACGGTCTACAGCTTCAGTCACTCTCTGCGGGTCTGGCCGGGCAGCGCCTCTCATGGCTGGTACAGCCGATTCTGGCCCTGCAGGCTCTGCCGCAGAATCGGCAACAGTACTCCCGTGTGGTGCTCTTCTCTACAGGTCCCTTTCGCCTGCTCCTAGCTTCTGCTTTCCTGCTCTCTCTAGCAGCTTTGAACAGTTCTGTTCCTTTGTGTATCGCTGCTCTCCACTTACTTCTGTCGCTTGCTGCCTTCTCCCAAGATTCAATGGAGAAGTCTTGGAGAGTAGCTTTGCACAAATCCTTAAACCTGAGCTTAGGCCTTCCCCTTGGTCGACTCCCTTGAGAGAGTTCGCCGTACAGTATTTTCTTGGGAAGCCTGTTGTCGTCCATCCTGGCCACGTGGCCTAGCCAGCGCAACCTGTTTCGCCGCAGGATCTCAAACAAGGACAGTGATCCTGCTTGCTGGAGAACTAGCTCATTTGTGATTTTGTCCTGCCATTTTATGTTTAAGATCTTCCGCAAGCAGCGTAGGTGGAAACTGTTGAGTCTTTTTTCTTGTCGCGAGTACACTGTCCAAGCTTCGCTGCCATATAATAAAGTCGACAGTACACATGTGTTGTAGACCAGTACTTTTGTCTTTTTTGTCAGCTTTTGATTTTCCCACACTCTTTTACTTAGTTTTCCAAAGGAAGCAGCAGCTCTGCCGATCCTTACATTTATTTCCTCGTCCAAAGAGTGGGTACTTGTCATCACCGATCCCAGGTAAGTGAACCTGTCAACTGTTCGGAGGGGATTTCCGTGCAGTGTAATCAAAGGTGGGACAAGAGTACCTTGCCCCATTACCTCCGTTTTCTTGACGCTGAAGGTAAGGCAAAAAAGGTCACAAGCCCGGGCCAAACTGTCCAACAGTCCCTGCAGAGCAGACTCCTTATGAGCTGTGAGTGCTGCATCATCAGCGAACAGGAGCTCTCTGCACAACGACTCAACGGTCTTACTTCTTGCCCTGAGTCTTGCCAGGTTGAACAGTGAGCCGTCTGTGCGTGACCTTATGTACACACCATCCTGGTTTCCCTTGAAGGCGTAACGGAGGAGTACAGCAAAGTAAATGCTGAAGAGGGTCGGCGCCATCACGCACCCTTGCTTGACTCCGTTCTTGATGTCAAAGAAGTCAGATGTTGCACCATCGAACTGGACACAGGCTTTCATGTCCTCGTGGAAAGAGATGACCAATTTTAGGAGTTTGGGTGGACATCCCACGCTCTTGAGTACTTTGTAGAGGGCAGGTCTACACACCGTGTCGAAAGCCTTGGTCAGGTCGACGAAGGCGATGTAGAGAGGCATACACTGCTCCCTACACTTCTCCTGCAGTTGTCGCAAGGTGAAGATCATGTCCGTGGTGGACCGTCCTGCTCTAAAACCACACTGGGATTCCGGTAGCACCCGTTCTGCTAGCGTCTGTAGGCGCTTGCGTACTATACGTGCAATAGCTTTGCCAGTAATGCTCAGCAGTGAAATCCCTCTGAAGTTGTTGCAGTCCCCTCGGTCACCTTTGTTCTTATAGAGTGTCACGATCTTGGCATTGCACATTTCATTTGGGACTTTGCCTTCTTCCCAGCACTGTCGGAGAAGTTCGTACAAGTAGGGCAGTATGACTTCTCTGTTCTCCTTCAGGACCTCTGCCGGTATGCCATCCTGACCAGGTGCCTTGCCACTGGGTAGAGCACTCAGAGCTTCTAGGAGTTCACTCTCCTCAGGCATGGCATCTAACTCTGCTAGTTCTGGGTATGCTGGTAGGACCTCCTCCAGTCTAGGTTTCTCTGCTATTTCCTTTGAGTACAACTCAGAGTAGTGTTCGACCCATCTGTCTAGTTGTTTGTTTGTCTGTAATTGCTTCTCCCTCCTTCGTCTTAAGAGGCGCTGTTTTTGAGACTCTAGGTCCAAGAGCTACTTTCATGAGGCTGTACATCGTGCCTGCGTCTCCCACATCAGAAGCAGTTTGGATAGATGTGCATAACTCTGTCCAGTACTGGTTTGCACACCTCCTAGCTTCCCTCTGTGCTTCTGATCTAGCATGTCGGAGGCGATCCAGTGTTGCTTGCGATGGGTTTGTTTGTGTTCAAGCATTGCAGACTTTTTGGCATCGAGTAAGGGCATGAGAAGACCAGCGTACGCCTCAACCCAGTCCTTGCCCTCATGTCGTTTAACACCACAACTGGCCACTGCGCTGTCGTATATGCTCTTACTCAGTGTATGCCATACTTGATCCACTGTGCCGCCAGCCGCACACCCTTGCATCCTGCGAGAAAACTCCCTGGAGAAGATTTCCTTGCTCTCTGGCTCCCTGGCCACCTTGGCGTTGACTCTGGGCCTGGCCTCAGGTCTCCGCCTATGGATGCGTTTGTGTGTGACCTCCACTCTACTGGCTACCAGTGAGTGATCACTGTCACAGTCCGCACTGTGGAAGGAGCGGGTTACCTTCACATTGTTCAGATGTTGCTTGCGGGTGATTACCAGGTCTAGTTGATGCCAATGCTTGGACCTTGGGTGGCACCATGACACTCTTCGGCATTCTTTCACTCCAAACATTGTGTTGGTGATAACGAGATCCCTCTCTGAGCAAAACTCCAGAAGCCTCTGTCCGTTCTCGTTCATCTTCCCAACACCAAAGTGGCCGAGTGATGTAGGCCATGTGTCGTGGTCTCTGCCTACCCGTGCATTAAAGTCACCCAAAAGGTACAGCTGCTCTCCATGTGGGATCGAACTGAAAAGCCTGTCCAAGCATTCCATAGAAGCTATCTTTCAGTTCCATAGATGCAGCTAAGGTTGGTGCATATGCATTAATGAGGTTGACGTAGCCTCCAGCCGTATTGAGCCTCATCAACATTAGGCGTTCCGAGATTCCAACAGGTGAAGTTATGGATTGAAGAAGGGTATTTTTTACAGCAAAGCCTACACCATGCCACCGCGGTTGATCTGCTTCCAAACCCCTCCAGTAGAAAGTGAAGTTTGCCTCCCTTAAACACCCACTCCCAGCTATCCTTGTTTCTTGGAGAGCCACAATGTCCATTTGTAGTTTCTGAAGTTCTTCGTC